TATATAAATTTTAAACTATTAAAAGTATAAGACAATGTTGAACACCGAGTTGTCACTTGGATTCCAAACTCTGAAGGGATATAACATTGGTCACCTCAGTTCTTCCAATTTTATATGAGGGCCACTGCTAAAGGCTGTGAAGGCTAGTGTCTGTTCTTCAGGGAAAATTGCTAAATATTACAAAACTTATAGTTAATATTTAGCAGAATGGTATGTTATTTGACCAAGACAAAATCAAATGGGATATAGAAAATATGCATATATGTATCTCTACACTTACCTGATAGTAAGTCTTTTAAAGTTTGTTTTCAGGGGTTGAATTTAACTTATTTATTTAAGACTATGTCCAAGAACTTTTTGTTCACCTAATTGAATTTGTTCATGTATTCATTTAAGTCAGTCTCATTTGAGAAATGCCTCCCTAGAGGCAGGCACTGTGCCAATGCTAGAATCATTCAGATTTGAAGATACAGATTGAGAAAGATAAGTTAAATCAGGGAGCACAAATGCTTATAAACTGCCAGCAGTGCTTCCTGTGAAGATCAAGAGCGTCAGTCACAATTGCAACAATGGGAGAAGGCAGGCTGGAGGACCACTCTGGAATGGATGGATGGATGGTCAGCAAAATCTTTCCACAAGGAATGAAAAAAAAATTAACTAGTGACATGACTAGATATAGCTTATTTTTGAAGCATATTTGTGTGTGATGTCAAGAATGTAGTATCCACTTAGGACAATAGTCACAAAGGTACTGTGTTGCGATTGAGGTGTGGTGTTTTTATTGTCAATAGACATGTTAAGAAATACATAGGCCTGAAAGAAAGTTTTGAAATCAAAACAAAAAGGAGTGACAGGTAGATTAGATTGCTTAAAAGTATTAAGGAAAATTCAAGTGCCAATATGTCCTCTGTTCTGGATTTCTCTAGGACTTCTTTAAACTTGGTGTGGTTCATTAAAGTTGATGGGAAATACTTATGACCAATTTAAGATTCCTTATGTTATTTTAACTTGGCTTTTTTAAAACTAACATGTAAATTGAAAGCATTCTTTTCTTTTATAGGTACATTGTCTTGGTGGAGAAATTGGAGCAGAAATCTGGGAGCATCTCCTTGTCACGATCCGATGTCCATTTTTGGCCCTTTCAGCTACCATAAGCAACCCCCAGCATCTTACTGAGTATGGATTAGGTTCTATTTTGTATAGAATGTTTATTTACTGTGATAGTTTGAATTTCTTAATCTTTTATGGGGCTTAGACCTCATTTTCTGGTTCACTCATAGCACTCCCTGAATTCAAGCTACTGTCTGTTTAGTTCTTTCTGATACGTCTTGGCTACTCTCTACAAAGAAATACCCAGCTGGTGGGGGAAGTCCTTCTGAACATGTGTTTCTTTTATTTGTTAATGAATAAAGAAACTGCTTTGGCCTGTGATAGGGCAAAATAGAGCTAGATGGGGAAACTAAATTGAATGCTGGAAGAAAGAAGATGAGTCAGTGAGACTCCATGTAGTTGCTGCAGGAGACACACGTGTCATGGATCTTTATCAGTAAACCACGAGTGTAGTGGTAAACGGTAAATTAATAGAAATGGGATAATTTAAGACATAAAGCTAGCTAGAAATACATTTAAGTGATTGGCCAAGCAGTGTTTTAGTTAATGCAGTTTTGTGTAATAATTTTGGGTCTGAGCAGCCAGAAATGAATGTGCAGCTTCGCCAACACCCAGTGACCCTTGCCTCAGATTTGCAGTTGCGTAGGAAGTATTATGTCATAGCTCAAAAATACCATGATAGCTACATATTTCTTTTATTTTTCTCTATCCCGTTTACTAGGAAAAGTAAATAAAGGTGATAGAATGATACATTTTCCATAGATTATAATATCATTACATTTTATAGATTTATTTAGAACAAGAGCAAAGCTTTATTAATGGGAAGTCACATATCTTGTCTTTGGGTTTGAATGTTGAGCACTGATAACAACACATTCCTTAGCTTCTCCCATGTGTCACATTTTCTCCTAAGTACTTTGCATATAGTAATTTATCTTAAATATTATCAATATCAGATGTGCTAGTATTTCCATTGTTATTATTAGATAATAGTAGTTTTAAAAGTCTGTTGATTTTTAAACATGAAAGTTAGGCACAGAAATATTAAATGATTCATGTAGGATTCAGAGTTAATAGTACAGAAGCTATAATTCTATTTCAGTTTACGTGACTATAAAACTTATTTCATTCTGTGAAAACTTTAAGACACACATTTTTTTCTGATTTTTAATTATTTAATTTCATGTAGGTTATTTCTATTTTCTGCTTAAATAATGTACAAGTTACTTTTGGGTTGATGTAAACAAAATACTTTAAGGGAGGTATGCCTTTATTTAGACACAGGGTTTTAGAAAGATTTCAGCCCATGACAGTGGGAAAGGCAAGGAAGGGAGGCTTCAACCATAGAAGTGGGAGCCTGAGGTGGCAGTTTGCTTACATGGCAGCAGACAGGAAGCAGAGAGAGCTAGATAAGACCAAGAACCAGTGGCTAGTATAACCTTTGTGATAGCTGATGCTGGTTGTCAATTACTCTTCAAAGACTTCTGTTACACAGTTCCGACATTTTAATGACTCTGTAGCGTTTCATACCAAAGACTGGGACTAAGCACTTGAAACATGAACCATTGGGCACAATACTGATTGAAATCATAACTAATATATTTATTTTTAAAGGTGGCTCCAGTCAGTAAAGAGGTACTGGAAACAAGTAGACAGTGCAATGGGGAAAAGAACTTTTTCCAAAAGAAATTCTGCCTCCCGTGGCAGTCACCATGAAGACCAAGGGCAAGCCAGACAGTCATACAAAGTTAGACTTGGTATGTATGCTCTGTGTAGTTGTATAGCCTTATTTTTGTTTGGTTTGGCTATTTGCTTTAAAGGTATTCCATTCGCCACATTTCTGATAATTTGGAAATCTCACTCTTCCCCTTTCAGTGATCTACGGAGAGAGATACAATGACCTAGAGAAGCACATATGTTCTGTGAGACAGGGTGATGTTTGCTTTGATCATTTTCACCCATGTGCTGCACTAACCATAGATCATGTAAGTAACAACCTTTGCCACAGTTGTTCCATGTAACAGCACTGTCTGGCGAATATACATATTAGAGTACTACTCAGCAGTAAAAAACAAGGACTTCTTGAAGTTTGCAGGCAAATGGATGGAAATAGAAAACACTATTCTGAGTGAGGTAAGCCAGACCCAAAAAGAGGAACATGGGATGTACTCACTCATATTTGGTTTCTAGCCATAAATAAAGGACATTGAGCCTATAATTCGGGTTCTTAGAGAAGCTAAATAAGAAGGAGAACCCAAAGAAAAACATATAGGCATCCTCCTGAATATT